GATGAAATAAGAGTTAGGCAAGAAAAAAGACCTCACTTCACAGAAGAAAGTTTTCTTAGGGGGAAAGAGATGGTCACTTGGGTTTGACCATGAATTCACAGTGCCTCAGTGGTTCACACCACCACTATCCTGAAAGCCTGGGGTAGGCACATGCTTATTGACACCCATCTTGTATAATGCATGCCTCACAACTACTTGAATTTGGGCTGTGTTGCTGACTGAACAGTTGTGTTCTACTTCAAATTGATTATTGCTGAGACTGAGCTCTCTGATGTGAGTCAAGAGGTATTTTTAGGCTTCCAGCCAAAATTGGTTGGAATGATAGAAAGGATCATGGACTCAATAGCCTTTACCTGATTTCCAAATAATGGCTACAGGAAACAGCAACTGATGCTTTATAAAAAGCAGTATTTTGGTGCAGACAGAATCTTTGACTTCGTGAAAATCCTGAAGAGCCCTGCCTTTTAGCGCTCGACTTTCCAATATGAGAACTACTAGAGTAGAAGATAATCTGTGCCCTCTTCCTGAGAGGCTAGGTAGTAGCTATAAACATCAAGACCAGAGTTTAGAAATTTCTATGCCTCAGAAAAACTTCTGGCCAAATATAGCAACAGATGTATTTTGTGTGGCTCTTCCAGTGTTCGCCTGCACAGAGACTGAGGATTTTAAGCTTTCAAGAAATCCTAAAATCAAGGACACAGTGGACCTTCATTTTTTCAGGCAATGACTTTGTATAGAGGTTCCATCCTTTGACATAGCGTAAGCTTTCTGGTTTGCTCAGTGCCTACCCCTTCCTGGAGATAATGAGTTTCCATTTATTTATTCATTTACTTATTTATTTATTGAAATGGAGTTTCATTCTTATTGCCATATTTTGAGACAGAGTCTCACTCTGTTGCCCAGGCTGTAGCACGAAGACGCGATCTTGCCTCACTGCAACCTCGGCCTCCTGGGTTCAAGCGATGCTCCGGCCTCAGCCTCCCAAGCAGCTGGGATTATACGCACCACCATGCCCAGCTAATTTTTGTATTTTTAGTAGGGATGGGTTTTCACCATGTTGGCCAGGCTAGTCTCAAACTCCTGACCTCAAGTGATCTGCCCGCCTCAGCCTCCCAAAGTGCTGGGATTACAGGCCTGAGCCACCGCATCTGGTCCCCTCCATTTATTTTTATCATGTGCTTCCACTGAGGATTTCCTTCTAGTAGAGTGAAAGCTGCCTGGCTCCTGTACAAATATGAGCTGGGGACGCCTGTAGGCATCTCACTAACAGTCACTCTTGGTAGAATGTGAACCCTCACGTTACTAGTTACCGTAGTTACTAGTTACTATAGCAAAATTAACCAGAAAAAAATATAGTTACGCACATTTCTTGATTTTTTTCTAAAGACAAGTTACAAATTATAGTTTTTTTTTAAAAAAATTATTATTTCTATATTATTATTTTTCCTCATTTCAGTAAAAAGTACACTGGATGCAAGTACGTTAGAATCCCCACCTATTCCTGCCTATTTAAACTCTTTTAAGATACTTTTAAACAATTCAATACCAAACAAAGCCATTAAAAAGGCAGAAATAAAAGTAAAAATCTACTGATGAATGAATGATTGCAATAGCGTTTGTTTGTTACTGACCATTAGATGCAAGTGGGTAGAATTGAATAAACAAAATGAAGTGGAAGCAAAATCCCAAAGCATTGCATTCTTTAGTCTTCCAAGCTGAGGAAGGCCGCAGATTCAGGCCACTTCTAGAGCAGGATTATATTTGGTTAATAAACAGTGGTAAGTATAGCTGGAAGACAGATACTACTTGTTATTTATTTGTTTACTGATTTATGAGACAGAGTTTCATTCTGTCACCCAGGCTGAAGTGCAGTGGTGCAATATCAGCTCACTGCAACCTCTGTCCCCCAGGTTCAAGTGATTCTCATGCCTTAGCCTGCTCAGTAGCTGGGACTACAGGCATGTGCCACCACGCCCAACTAAATTTTATATTTTTAGTACAGATGGGGTTTCGCCATCTTGGCCAGGCTGGTGTCAAACTCCTGACCTCAGCCACTTTTTTTCTTCCTGAAAACAGATTTTTCAGGATTCTCTATGATCCTGTAAAATCTAATCTGCATGGGAATTAGATTAGATTTTACAGTGATAATATGAGTAATATCTCCGTGAAACAGTCCAGTCACCCATTATTTCTCAGCCGTCTAGTGGGACAGATTCAGTATGTACAAATCCACATTGTGAATAGGTTTCACCTCATGAAATTCAGTGACTCATGTACTAATTTAGTATTTATGAAGAAATATTGGACTTGGTAACAGCTTTTAAAAAGCTGAGTATGACTGAGTTAATAAAAACAAGTTTACACCATAATAAAACACCAGATATTGGTAAATGTTGATATTAATATTGATACATATTACTATGATGCTATTAGTAAACTTTTGTTTTGCATAGAAAAGTTCATTTATAACAAGGACCAATTTATTTCTCATTTCCACCCTGAGAAGTAGGTAGATGAGGCAATTGAGTGTCAGAGTTCGTGACTTACTCAGTGCCACAGAACTAGAAAGCAGTAAATCTGGGAGTACAGCTTAGGAATTCTGCCTGATCTCAGGGTCTCTCCAGGATGTCATGCTGCATAAGACTTAGGGAACAGTAAATTCTCTGACCTGTAGGAAGAAGAAAGCGCAGGCCAAGTTATAATTATTATTGTTTTCCTGTCGAGATGTAACCTTACTGTTTTAAGATATGGAATATAATACAAAGTATTGTCATTATTTTTATCAGTATTAGGGGATGTGCAAATTGGGTTGTATGGAACATTTCAGTGTAATAGAAATTTTCTCTGTTTTTATGGGGAACGAGTCTTGAGAGTTTCTCTGTTAAAATGGTGAACAGCTGCTCACTTCTGGGGAATAACCACAGCCCACAATCAAGTCTGATAAGAACTCAGAAAAGAAGTGACTTATTTTGAGCAAAGGTGTCATGAGCTCACAAGATAAAAGATTGGGCTACAGGCAGAAGGTGGGCAAGATGCCTGCATTTGAAACACAGTGGCCTCAGCTTTAAAATCCAGACAGGTATGTGTCAATATCAGGAAATGAGAAAGAGCTGTTTACTGTGAGCAGAAATCCAACAGTGTCATTTTATGAGCAATAAAATTAAACACATTCATATTGCAAGTAGAGGAAATGATCAAAATCACCACCAAAGAACAGTGAAAATCAAAATCTAGCTTTTTCTTTCCTTCCGGTGATATGTTGACATTATTGAAACCTGGCATCAGTATTTTTTAAAACTGTAAGTTTCTTGGGTTGAGTAATAAAGAATAGTGGTGTGGCAGCTGGTCTTCCAAAGGGAGGTGGCATTGTGTGGGAGAGAAGGTCAGTATGCCAACAGGAGAAATGGAGTGGGTGGGGCAGGATATAAGCTATCAGAGAATTCTAGTAATCTAAATGTGAGCATAAGCCTCTCGTAATTCTTTGTAAAACTGAAATAATTCAAAGCACTATTTTAAGGAATAGAGAGAGAATTAGCAGAATGCCTCAAAAACAGTAAGGGTTAAATACATTGTAGCTGTTATGTTTTTTCCATACATGCTTTCATAAGCTCTCTCTGTTACTCGAGGCCTGTGGTTTATATAAGGGGGAAAAATATGACAAAATGCCACACAGGAGCAGCAGGATCTCAGAGTCTGGCAAGAAGTGAAGCAGTGAATTACTTTTCCCAGTGGTGCCTAGCTATTTGAACTAGACTAAAATCGGGCCTGTTTCATGCCCAAGTTCCAGCTTTTTCTATCTCCTTGTACTTCTAAAAGAGGTTATCTGTAAGCAATTGAAAGGTGATAATTACATCTATGATTTCCTTTGCTTTCAAGTTTCAGATTTAGGCCATATTACCTTGGTACCAATGGTGAAGATCTTGCAAACTCTGACAGTGCCACAACATATGTTAAATACCTCATCTTCCTCTCCCTTCCTGTTATGGTCTGAGAAGTTGGGTAGGAATGGTATAGAACCCTGCATGCCCTCACCATGAAAATCAAGGACCCGGGGCTACTTCCCCCATTCGTATATCCAGCCTGCAGCAACTCACCAGCTGAATTTAACTTGCACCACCTCTAATGAGGGCACTTTACATCTCAGCAACTCAGCTGAGCGGAGTAAAATTACTATTTAATAGCAGGGGACTGGGTTGGTAGGGATAGAGAGGAAAGTAGATTCAGACTTGCTTAAGGGGAATGCTTTTCTGGATTTTTCTTCTCCAAATTGGGGGAATAGTATGTGAGAGGGGAAAGTATTCAGGTAAATATGGTATAGTGATGAGAGTCTGTAATATGAGCCTGGTGTCTCAAGAGAAACTTCTTAACTTTCATGGCCCCTGGGCAAGAATTAACCCATCTCCTCCAGGCTTAGTTTGCATTTCAGACCCAGGGCTTTAAAATCCTCCCTCTGCTTCCTCTTCCCCTGCTTGTGTGCTGTTGTGGTGGGGAAACCGCTGTGTTTCTGTTGGTGTGCATTACTGTGGGAGGACAGTTCTAGCAAATTACATAGGTAAGGACCAAGCATGCATTCAAACATTTGAACTAATCCAACCAATGTCAATAAGGAACACCGAATTTCCCGGATATGGCCCAAATCAACTTTTACATCCTCAAGGAGTGTGAGTTAAAGCCCAGGGTTTAATGACTAATTAAAGTCATTGAAGTTTCTGAGCCATGTGTGCATAGTCACACATTAGAGCTGGGATCTCAGACCAGTCATGACTTGCAAGAGCTGCAAATGTGGTCAGTGGAAATGAACTCTCAATTCAGCTCCACAGCACGTGACTTCCTATTTCTGTAAGGTACTTCCAAGGGACTTCCTCTGTAAAACCAGCCTGAGCCCCAGGAGATTTCCTTTAGTGCTGTAACTAAGTTTACTTTTAGCCCAGCGCAGAAGTTTTCCCTGAGATATGGTGTTAGTTTCTTTTCTTTCTCTCTCCTCTGCCGTTGGTTGCCAGCATGCAAGGATCTCGTGGCTCCTGTCCGTGATCGTAAATTGAACACACTGGTGCAGATCTCAGTAATCCACCCCGCGGAGCAGAGTCTGACAAGATACTCCAGCACTGAAATTGTGGAGGTGAGATGCTATATTAATCTCTCTCTCTCTCTCTCTCTCTCTGTGTCTCATCTCTTTCTTGTCTCTCTCATCTCTCTCTTCTCTCTCTCACTCTCCCTCTCCCCTGTCCATCTCTGGATTTGAATGAACAGCTGAGTCCGTAGCAATGCTACACTACCACCCTCTGTCATTAAGGAGCACATACCTGAGATTATTAAGCATGCCTTAATAATTTACTAGAATGAACAAATGACGAAGGAATGCATCTTTTTTTTTCTTTTCATAAAAAGAGCTTATTTTTCACCCAAAGAGAGAGAAAAAAAGTTTCCACTTTAAATTCTCTTATAAAGCATAGGATAAAGAAAAACAACTTATAGACTTCAAATTAATTGAAATGAATATTTATTTTGAGGAAAAAAAGGAAAGTTGTAGAGTACCCAGAGAAAATTTAAACATGTTAAGTGTTTTTGCCCTTTTTTTCCCGGTATTCTTTAGTGTGTGGACACTTTATATTCTCTGCTATTTGTGTGTATCTTTCAACATACAATGTTTTTCAAGGAACGTAGATGATTAACTTGACAAACTGTTTTCAGGCAAAAGGTATAAGTAATACTCCTCAGACGGGCTATTTCCTATTTACATTTACTGTTAGCAATATAACATTCAAAATGTGTCTGGAGGAAACTTGTTATTGTGTTGGATCAGATTCAAAAGAGGAAGTATTTCTCTTTTGATTATTTTGTTCTGATCACGCATTTCACAACCTTAGTGAAGGAGAGAGACTTACTTAAACATCTGGGGCTGGAGAAAGTATACTCTGAACTTCTTAAGATTTGCTTGTTTTTCTTAGACTTGGAAGCTGCATGTTTTGAATGAGGAATTTCTCTGTAAGAACCTAACTAGCCTGCCCCAGACCTGTCTGGCTCAGGGCTGACTGACTGCTTTGATGCAGTGGTGGAGTAAATGATTCAGACTGAACTGGAGCCATTTCTATAATGGGAATGACCCAGATACTGCATGTAGCCCTGAATATGCCCTTTGGAAATTTTAGGTTCCAGTGTTGGTATAATATATAGCTAATGCTATAGTTGAATTAACAAAAATAATCTTATTCATATAAAGATACCTTAACTAAAATTGTAAGTTATTCATTTTATATAAAGTTAAAAATTGTTATTTTAAAAATATTGCCAAAATTAATTTACTTATTCACTCATTTTTGAGTTTTTCTTATTTTTTTTATTTTATTGTGATAAAATACACATATTATAAAATTCGCTATCTTACCTATAAGAAATGTCTGATTTTGGCACATTGTAACATTTTATATTTGAACATGTTTTGCTGTTTTTGGTTGTTTTATTCGCTGCCTTTTCCAACGTGCCTGATGCAGTGCCAAGCAAAAAGTATTTGTTGAATAAAAGAATGAATGAGTTACTTGGGCTTCCAGAAATTCCCACAGACAATTGGTTTATAGAACTCTAGCTAACATCTCCATGATATTCAGCAATATACATGTATAAAATTTAATGCTGGATGACAGCTCTAAAAATGAATTCTGAGGCAATGAAATATCCTGTGCATTGCATCCTGAGCTAGTAATTTTATAGCCCCAAATCCATCATATTTAGAGTTTCTTTCATTAGTTTTTCCAGTCATTCTGAGTAAAAAAAAAAAAATCATAGCTGAACATCTAAAAACAAATGGACACTATCAGAGCATGACTTTCAACTGAATCATTATAAAAAGGAAATAAATGGAAGCATAAGATTACCACATGGTTCTTTATGAGAAAATGGCTTCAGTTTAATTTGATCAGTCAATATCTTAGATTGTTTGCACAAATTACAAGTTATATGTATTCAATGTATTTTAAATGAATTGACTAACCCTAAAGAAGGGTTCTGTAGATGATGAAAATAAACTTTTCCAAACAACGCTGACAATGATGCAGGTTCATTTACCATCAGCAGCCGAATCACTGCTTTAAGGCCCTGGGCCATGTTGTTGCCCATGGACGGCATTTGACAATTCAGATCTCTTCTAATAGAACTATTTCCTAGAAAAACAGACTCAGGCACACTTTCTTCTTTCTCACGTGTCACTTGCATGCTGCAAACTGCAGTTGCTGCCTTATTGAATCCAAGTTGTCTGCTTGTGCTGTTACAGGGAACAAGGGACCCACTGTTTTTGACTGGTGTCACATTCCCATCTGAGTATCCCATCTATGAGGAGACCAAAATAAAACTAACAGTCTATGATGTCAAGGATAAGTCTCACGACACTGTAAGTACTTCTTTATTTCTTCGGGAAAAAGTTATGCTTTTCCACACGATTAGATTTTTTTATGTAACTGACATTATTCAGAGTGGTTTTTTTTTTTTTGCACTGTGTTTATGATTGTCTTATGTTTATTATTGTTTTTTATTTTCCCAAATTTGTTTGGCTTGTTGCCAAATTGGCAATTGGTTAGAGCAAAAGCTTTCAGAACGGATTTGTCTTTTTCAGAAGAGCTGACTTGATCTTTTGGTTTACATTTTGTTGTTGCTGTTTTAAGCGAAGTGGGTGATACTGTGGGTAGAAAGCAAATGGAAGGAAATTAGGTCATATTTAAAACCTTCTTGGTATAGTAATTATTCTAAAATAGCGGATTGACAAAGTGCTCTATTCTTACAATGTATTCTCTCTATATGGTATGCAAAATAATACAGTGTATTATTGAGAAACTGCGTACATTTTTCTTGTTGTTGTTACTGGCACCAAAACAAACAGAAGGTAACTGGAAACACTAGGAAGAGGCTTTAACTGCTCTCTTTACATGAAGGGCAGGCAAAGACCAATGGTCTTTTGTCCTACATTCTTCAGTCTTCCTGCATGGTCTGAGTATTCCTCCAATTGAATCATCTCTTCTGGATAAGTACTCAGGCACTATCTCTAGAGGACACTGTTAAAATCTGGGATAGGAGAAAATGCTATTGGGGAGGTATTGAGAAGAGGAAGGCAGTTCCCTCCTTTAAATTTCCCCCATTAGCACGAACTTGTGTGACAGACTTGATGGCCAATAGTGAGGCAGGAGGCAGTAAACTCTTTTTTTAAAAAATTGTACTGTAGGTTCTGGGGTACATGTGCAGATCATGTAGGATTTTTGCATAGGTACATACGTGGCAGTGTGGTTTGCTACCTCCATTCCTCCGTCACCTATATCTGGCATTTCTCCCATGTTATCCCTCCCCAACCTTCCCACCCCCCACTGTCCCTCTCCTAGCTTCCCTCAACAGACCCCAGTGTGTGATGCTCCCATTCCTATGTCCATGTGTTCTCTTTGTTCAACACCTGTCTATGAGTGAGAACATGCAGTGTTTGATTTTCTGTTCTTGTGTCAGTTTGCTAAGAATGATGGTTTCCAGATTCATTCATGTCCCTAGAAAGGACAGGAACTCATCATTTTTATGGCTGCATAGTATTCCATGATGTATATGAGTCATATTTCCCTTGTCTAGTCTATCATCAATGGGCATTTGGGTTGGTTCCAGGTCTTTGCTATTGTAAACAGTGAGGCAGTAAACTCCTTTTTTTTTTTCTTTTTTTTTAAGCCGAGTTTTGCTCTTGTTACCCAGGCTGGAGTGCAATGGCACAATCTCGGCTCACTGCAACGTCCGCCCTCCACCTCCTGGATTTAGGCAATTCTCCCGCCTCAGCCTCCCGAGTAGCTGGGATTACAGGTGCGCGCCACCATGCCCAGCTAATTTTTTGTATTTTTAGTAGAGACGGGGTTTCACCATGTTGACCAGGATGGTCTCAATCTCTTGACCTCGTGATCCACCCGCCTCAGCCTCCCAAAGTGCTGGGATTACAGGCGTGAGCCACTGCGCCCGGCCCGGCAGTAAACTCTTTAATGGCTGGTGGGCCAGTGGGTTCCAGGAGACTTCTGTTTGAAGCTACGGGATGCTGCTGTACTTGGGGAACCCCACAGTGCCTTGTGTAGGGAAATGTCCCTTTGCACTCTGACTTCACTTTGGCATTTCTGTTTAGCTCATGACTCTTCTCTTCTTTCCTTTTTTACAATAAAACTTAATCTACTGGTGGGAACATTAAACAAGAGAAAATATTTTATTTCGAAGGGCTGTCTATGCATCTCAGCCCCAGAAAAGTTCATTTCTTTACAACTGTAGAACAAAGGCTTAAGTAAATGCACAGCTTACATACATGGAACCAAACAGATGTGGCTATCTGGTACAGTTCTTAGGGAGTCAGATTCTAGAGCCATGTTGTCTGATTTTGTTCTGTTTACTGGCTTTGGGAGAGGAAATTCGTGGTTCTCCTTTCATCTTTTATAATATTTACCTAATGGGATTGCTATAAGGTTTAAATAAATATACATAAAGTGTTACTGTTACAGAGTAATTAATAAGGGTAAGTTGCTAATATTGTTGCTGTTATTGTTTTGGCAGCTGCCTCAGGCTTTCTTATAGTAAAAATCAAATTAAGGAAATATTAGCCAAAATAATTTTCTGTATTTATTAATTTTGTTTTTTCTCGAGTGGCCCGACATTTGCTGTTTATTACTTCTTTAAACAAAAAAGGTACAAATTTGGTTTAAAACTTGCAACTAAAAAATACTTGCCTGGGAATTTTGTCTTTTCCTTTCCAACCTCTTTGGTTTTGAAATAACATGTGAGAAAGGAGTAAGACTGCAGCTGGGACATTTAGACCGGTTTTGATACATTATGTCCAGAGCTCTCACCCACTGCTTTTTGGTTGTTTTGTTTTTAACCTTCTGCCAGAGAAGAGAGAGAAATGGAGGGAAAGGTGAAAGCATCATAAAGTTGGAGAGGAGAGGAGGGAGACACGGTTCAGATGGAAAGTGGGAGTGGGTAATGCAATTGTGCAGAGAATACGCAGGGACGAAAGGGAAAGCAGAGGAGAGACTGTGGGATTTTATGTTCTGCAAAGCACTTGATTAAATTTAATTCTCCAACAGTCTCAAGATACAGATAGGGTGGGGTATGGAAAGGATTGAGTTATAAGAACTCTGTGCTACAGATGTGAAAATGTTTTCGCTAATCTCTTGGGCTTGTGTAGTACTTAAAAATATCAGAGTTAGAAATATTACATGCCAAACGTGTTTCTATCTCCTTCATTTAAAATGTGCATGAATGTTAATGCTCTGGAGATAAATGACGAATTTATTCATTAATTATGCTTTTCGTTGACTTTAGTTCTGGAAATTAATTATTCAGGGTCTTTTAAATACTTTCTTCCTTGATCAGAGGTGTTATGACATAAAAGCATGGAATGAACTGGAACCCCTCCTGTGAAATAAGACTTGTGAATTTTGAAAATGCTTAAGAAGTGCAACCAGAATGCATTTACCAAGCATTGTTAATTAAGGCATAACTTCTTCCTTAGCATAGCTAACAATTAGCTCTGGTGATGGAAGTGTAAATGGAAACCCAGTGCATTACTATGCTATAGTTCCCATGGACGTGTGGTCTTTATCGTGGCCCCTTTCTTCCATTTCTTAAGTTTTTCTTTAAAGTGTGTGGTGGAGTCTACTGGTAGACTTTAAGCAGCAAGTGACTTAAAGTACAGCTTACAGTTATAAGCACTTAACAACCTAAATATTTTAAGATTATAATATTCTTAAGGCCTAAGAAATGAGATTGTGAATATTTTCATGTTTTGAAAGGTAAATAAATTGCTTGTATATGTTTTAAGGTAGTTTAAATATTTGGTCCTAGCAAACCATTGATCATACTAGACTGAGCCAGGACGATCAGATCTTCTATATTGGTTGAATACTGATTAGTTGAGTTGGGTGACTAAATTGCTTGTGTTTTCCTATTGGGTTTATTACTTGGAGGTAACGAGTGAAATAAACACGTGACTTTGCCATTTCATATCATTTGCATACATATCGTACTAGATGTTTTTAAAGAGAAATTATGGCCTTTCCTCTGTGCTCTTAATGCAGACTTGTGCTCCACTAAACAACTGAACCTAGGATTGATTATCTTAGTAACTTCAGCAGAAATGCGATTAATCATCACAACAAATGAGAAGAGTCTAACTGTTGATTCAGGGTGACTATTTACTTCTACTACATCCTTCATCCTTCCCATTTACTTCAATAAGTCTTCCTCTTTGGCATAAGGATAGAGAATGCTTGACAGGCAGGGGAGGGGTGGGGCATAGAGGGGTGAAGGGTCTTTACGTATTAGCATTAGCGTGACCTTTTGATTATTTTCCTCCCTATAAGGACATTATTTTCTCAGGATGAGCTGCCATAACATCCCACTGTTGGATGACAATTTTAAAGCCTGAAATTGAAGCCCATGGATGGGCTGTGAGAGCCCTAGTTCGTACAGTAGAGTTGATATCTTCTGGATGTATACTGATTTTAGGCTTCATTTTAAAGCTCCTGGAAACTGAAACATAGACAAAAGTACTTTCAGGACGTCATTTACGGAGTTTGGCCCTAACAAGTCAAGCTGTGGGATTCTGAGTCTTTCATATGTTACAGCAGAAACTTAAAAACAAGAGGAAATTTAGAAAGGCAAAGAACGTCACCATAAAACCTTGTCTCTTTTTCCCATTCCTCATGCAACATGGTGCTGTGGAAGATAGTGAACAAGTCTCTTTCACCACCCTCTGAGGACAGCCAACAAAACTGCAAGCATATAATTAGGTCACAAAATTATTTTTGCCCACTGTAGAGATTTGAATTTCTACTTTATTTTGTGGTGTACATTGACTCCCCTCTTTTTGCCCTGAGAATAATAAATGCTTGCTGTACCATCAACTTGTTAAATTCTTTGCTTATAGGACAGAATCTGCACACTTCTCAGGGAAGGATATCTGTCCTAAGACTTTTTTACTACCAGTTACTAGCAAACCTGTACTTGAAACTTTCAGGAAAAGTTATCAAGACTAGATGTGTATATTACATAATGTGTGTTGTGTTATATACCCAGGGCAGTTTTTAGTTCTAGAGCATTTCCCTAGACAGAAGGGTCCATTTAGTTTTTTTAGGTTTTTCTATGTAAGACAAAAATATTTTGTATTTAGTTTATTTTTACTTCACTTGATTTTCTAAACTGGCTTCTTAAGAAGTTTAAGTCTAACTATATCTATTGAGATATGAATTCCATTAGTTGGTTTCCCTCTTTGTCTGTGAGATACGGTACAGTAGGTAAGGAAAGATAAATTGAGATTATTGATTACTAAGGATATACCAAGCACCATGGTTAATATGTTATATATATATATTTTTAATCTCCATAAAA